GCCGGGATTACCTCTGGAGCCCTTTTAAAAATTGGCGTCACATTAGCTATCCTCCAGTCATCTGGTACAGAAGCTGATTTAAATGATAGGTTACAGATTACAGTTAGTATTTCTGCAATTTTGCATTTGAGTTCCTTCAGAACTCTTGGGTGAATACCATCTGGTCCTGGTGACTTATTGCTGTTTAATTTATCAATTTGTTCCAAAACCTCCTCTAATGATACCTCAATCTGGGACAGTTCCTTAGATTTGTCACCTAAAAAGAATGACTCGGGTTTGGGAATCTCCCTCACATCCTCAGCAATGAAGACTGATGCAAAGAATTCATTTAGTTTCTCTGCAATGGCCTTATCATCCTTCAGTGCTCCTTTACCACCTCGATTGTCCAGTGGCCCCACTGGTTGTTTAGCAGGCTTCCTGCTTCTGATGTACTTAAAAAAAAATTGCTATTACTTTTTGAGTCTTTGGCTAACTATTTTCAAATTCTTTTTTGGCCTTTCTAATTGTATTTTTACACTTTATTTGCCAGTGTTTTTACTCCTTTCTATTTTCTAGGATTTAACTTCCACTTTTTAAAGGATGCCTTTTTGCCTCTGTCAGGGTATACACCCCCAAATCTGAACTCTGGGGAACGGATGTGGGGACCCGTATGAAAGATGCCCTTTTAAAAAAAAAGTTTTTAAAAAAACTTATCTTTTACCAGCTTAGGTTAAAACTCTTCCAAGGAACAGTCTTCTGTCTTGGACAGATAGTGCTGCCACCACCAAGTGATTTTCACAAATATTCAGGGAAGGGTCACTTGGAATCCCTATTCCCCCAAGCCTCTTCATCCCCTTTCCTGGGAAGGCTTGAGAATAAAATACCAACCAGTTGCCTTATCAATGTGAGCACTAACCAACTCCTTGTCTCGGGACTTTGGAATCAAAGGATTTTTTTTAAAAAAAGATAAATTTTATTTAAAAAGAAAGAAACATCTGAAAACTCATGCTTTAGGGATTAAACACAAAAAAATAACTTTCTTGAGGTTCAGTTTAAAGGTTACAATTAAAACAAAAGCACCTGGGGTTAGCACAGAGGAATCCACAAACCAAAACAACCAAAAAGGTTCCGAATCACATCTGTCTTAACTTTTCCTGTGCTACTTACATATCTGGGGTTCCAAATGAAGAGTTTCTAGGGTATGATGCTGATGATTTCCCATACCTGGCTTAAAGCTTACAGCTTGTTGCTGCCTTCCCCTCTCTCCAGCCCAAGAGACAAAGAAAAAAACCCCACACTCAGCAGTTTTTCCAATTTGAAAGGGTACAGCCACCCTATTGGTTACCCTGGTCAGGTGCCAACTCAGGTGAAGTTTCTCTTTACCCTTTACAGGTAAGGCAACTAGGGTACAGCTGCTAAGGAGGATCCTATGGCTACTAACTGGCTGGGTGTCCATAAAAGGGAACTAACCCCCCCCCGCCATTTATCACAGCCTCTCATTGCTTCATTTACTTTGTTGCTTAGCCACGGTGGCTCTTTTTGGGTTCTCTATGTTTTTTAATTTGGGGTATACATTTAAGTTGAGCCTCTATTATGGTGTCTTTAAAAAGTTTCCACACAGCTTGCAGAGATTTCACTTTTTGGTATTGTACCCTTTTAATTTGTTTAACTAACCTCCTCATTTTTGTGTAGTTCCCCTTTCTGAAATTAAATGTTACAGTGTTGGGCCGCTGTGATGTTTTTCCTGCCACAGGGATATTAAATTTAATTATATTATGGTCACTATTACCAAGCGTTCCAGCTATATTCACCTCTTGGACCAGATCCTGTGCTCCACTTAGGACTAAATCAAGAATTGCCTCTCCTCTAGTGCATTCCAGGACCAGCTGCTCCAAGAAACAGTCATTTAAGGTGTCAAGAAACTTTATCTCTGTATCCCAACCTGAGGTGATATGTACGCAGTCAATATGAGGATAAGTGAAATCCCCCATTATTATTATTGAGTTTTTTTATTTTAATAGCCTCTCTAATCTCCCTGAGCATTTCACAGTCACTATCACCATCCTAGTCAGGTGGTTGGTAATATATCCCTACTGCCATATTCTTATTATTCGAGCATGGAATTTCTATCCATAGAGATTCTATGGTATAGTCTGATTCATTTATGATTTTTACTTCATTTGATTCTATGCTTTCTTTCACATATAGTGCCACTCCCCCACCAGCACGACCTGTTCTGTCCTTCTGATATATTTTGTATCCTGGTATTACTGTATCCCATTGATTATCCTCATTCCACCAAGTTTCTGTGATGCCTATTATATCAATATCCTCATTTAATAAGAGACACTTTAGTTCACCCATCTTATTATTTAGACTTCTAGCATTGGTATATAAGCACTTTAAAAACTTGTCTTTTAAAGTTTACTGTTACACAATGTAAATGTGTAAAGTTGCTGTTACACAATGTAATTGAATGAGAATCTTTTTTATTTGACTGTTTCTGATCAGATCCTGGTGTATTTTATCATTTTCCATCTTCTTGTTTTCACTAGGACATAGAGATTCTCTATTAATAGATCCTCCCCTAAGGGATGTCCAAACCATGTGCTCCTCCGCAACTGTCGGCTTCCCCAAGCCCTTAGTTTAAAAACTGCTCTACCTTTTTAATTTTAAGTACCAGCAATCTGGTTCCATTTTGGTTTAGGTGGAGCCCATCCTTCCTGTATAGGCTCCCCCTTTCCCCGAAGTTTCCACAGTTCCTAATAAATCTAAACCCCTCCTCCCTACACTATCGTCTCAACCATGCATTGAGACTCCGCAGTTCTGCCTGTCTAACTGGCCCTGTGCGTGGAACTGGGAGCATCCCAGAGAATCTCTTTCATAAGTGCAGTACTTTACATTTCTCTTTGTTGACTTTCATCCTATTTGTTTCAGACCATTTCTCCAGTTTGTCAAGATCATTGTGAATTCTATTCCTGCCCTCCAAAGTGCTTGCAACCCCTCTCAGCTTGATACTGGCTGCAAACTTTACAAGTATACTTTCTAGGCCACTATCCAAATCATGTATGACAATATTGAATAGAATCAGACTCAGGACAGATCCCTGTGGGAACCCACTCTATATGCCCTTCCAGCTTGATTGTAGTTGAGTAGGCTTTCCTGAGCAGTTGTTCACCCACCTTAGAGTAGGTTTGTCTAGGCTGTATTTCCCTAGTTTATCAGAAGGTCATCTGAGACTGCTAAGTCGAGATATATGCAGGGGTTTTCAAACTGAGGGTCGGGACCCCTCAGGGGGTCGCGAGGTTATTACATGGGGAGTCGTGAGCTGTCAGCCTCCACCCCAAATCCCGCTTTACATCCAGCATTTATAATGGTGTTAAATATATTAAAAGGTGTTTTTAATTTATAAGGGAGGGGGTCACCAGTACAAAAGTTTAAGAATCACTGATCTACAGCTTCCCCACAATCCACAAGGCTTGTTACCCTGTCAAACGAGGATATTAGGTTGGTTTGACATGATTGATTCTTGACAAATCCATGCTGACTGTTAGTTATAACCTTATTGTCTAGGCGCTTACAAATTGATTGATGATTTGCTCCATTATCATTCCAGGTACTGAAGTTAAGCTGAGTGGTCTACAGTTGGGGATCTCTCCTGTCCTCCACAAGTTCTCAAAAATAAATGCTATTGGCTCAGAGATCTCTTCAGCCAGTTCTTTAAGTATTCTAGGATGTATTTTGTCAGGCCCTGCTGACTTGAAGATATGTAAATTGTCTAAATAACATTCAATTTGTGCTTTCTCTATTTTAGCCTCAGTTCCTAGTCCATTTACACCGATGTTCATTATGTTAGTTGCCTGATCACTGCTAACCTTTCTGGTAACAGAGGGTCCTGTGGCATCTTTAAGACTAACAGAAGTATTGGGAGCATAAGCTTTCGTGGGTAAGAACCTCACTTCTTCAGATGCAAGGAAGAAGTG